CACTCCTGCTTTTAGCTCGTCGAAGTCGACTCTGCGAACTAGCCCATAGACGCAATCCATTGAGTGTTTCGCCGAATCTTCTCAGTGGGTCGCGATTCCGACCCGGTAGTAGATTCAGCATTGCTATTGTTAGTGTTAACAATTCTCTCAGGTCGAGCATGGGCTAGGTGAACTGGTGGGTCTAGGTGGGACTGGTGGGTTATCATGGGACCTCACCCACAAGTCCGCGCGAAGTTGGAATTGCCCCTTAGGCTACCAACGATTAGGTAGGGGAAAAAAACACTAAGGAGGTCGTGTTAGTATGTCGCGTAAGATAATACGTGCGATAATTTATTTGTTTATTTTTACAATGTAACTTCGGTTGACTGACATACAGTTATCTCCAACTATGAATAACGTAATGTATTCGACACGTCGGAAACAATATATTGACAATACAGCTACAGCTTAAAGCCGTAAAATTAGCTCCAATTATATCTAAGTATCGAGAAAAACAAAGGGAACACTGTAATGTATCACTGTTTGTTTGCAGAAATACATTATTAAAGTCATAATCAAATAAGTGTGATTAACCCAAAACTAGTGGTCCCTCAGTAGCCGGAATTCGACTATAATTAATTGAAATTATAAATTTGAACATTATTATGGTTCTATTGTCCAAGACTATACTTTTTTGATAACAGATTTCGTCAAGGCTACACTTTACACAAACAATATTAAAGATATACAATATCATCTATTCTTAATTTGGCCATAGACTTTAACGATAAATAAAAGAGTATATAATATGATATAGGCGTGTGTGTGTCAAATACAGGGTAGCGTGTGTAATGCTTTTTTATCGATTTAATGTATTTTTATGCATAATTTAAAAGAAAAGGTAGCATTCTCTATATTCTTTATAAGTGTGGGAAATTTCATACTCCTCCGACGGTGCAATTTTCGTAAAAAGCGATACAAAGTTTTTGCTTCACGTATTAATATATAGATTACCAAGGGAATATTGCCGCCGCTCACGATTATGAGATGCAAGTCTAGATTCTTTGTTCTACAAGTGCCTTTCCGATGGGAATAATTTTAATATAGCTTTTTTTTATTGCTTAGATGGGTGGACGAGCTCACAACTCACCTGGTGTTAAGTGGTTACTGGAGTCCATAGATATCTACAACGTAAATGCGCCACCCAACTTAGGATATAAATACTAAGATCTCAGTATAGTTACAACGGCATCCCAACGGCTAGCTTCCCAACTCCTGATTACACGTCATCACTCTTAAATTTAAGGAACTCATCTTTGTATATGTAACACATATATTCTAGATTACTCCTGTTAAAAGAAAAGCCTTGTCACATACCAGCGCAGTGGCCTTGTAGTCATTAGTTTATGGATAGTAAAGACATTTGATTCATATAACAATTTCTTAACACGTTCAATTGATACTCGTGAAATGTAACAAGCATTGCGCCATGGTCGCCCTACACACCACTAGTTTGCAATTGAGCCCGTGATCGGGACAAGTTTTGTAATTATACCGCGCTATTAGCTACTTTAAATAATCGTTTTCGATAATTTCTCGTTATTCAGGCAATATAGGCGATAATGAATTAAAATAGACCAGAGTCGTGCGTTTTCTAAATGAATTTATAAGTCTTTCTTATAGTTGTGTAGGTTTACCAATCAATTTCCCTGCTTAATTGTTGGTGACTTTAGGGGTACGTGACCAGCTTAAAGTGGTATCTGTCTGGTAGATATTAACAAGGGACCGCAGATCCAGAAGTTTACAGATTTTAATGTTTTTAAATGTATTACTCTTTTTGCATTAATAATTTTATTAAACGCGTTTCCGTATTGACTACCTGTGTTGTTAATTATACAAAGTATTAATAGTCGTAATGTGAGAGTAATCTAAATGAAGAAAAAAGAAAAACAAATTACTGAGCATACTTCTTAAAACTTATCTTGATTTAGTTTTACCTTGATTCATCCACTGAGTTTCTCGCCGGATCTTCTCAGTGGGTCTCGTTTCTGATATGGTGAATTCTGCGAAGCACTGCTCTTGCTAGGAAAAGTGTTAGCAAATTCTCACGGGTGAGCCAGCAAGCTCCCTACCTAGCTACTAGCTAATACCCTATCCGTCCGAGCGTAGCTGGAATATCCTCTTAGACTAGGTACTCTAGCAGTCCGGAAAATAAACGTGTGAGTATTATAATTGACGTTCACGTTATGGCGAATCAGTTTTAAATCGTGTTTCATTAGTAATTACTGAAATCGATCGAATACGATTATCGATTATTATACGAAATATATCGATTTTTTGGAACTACTACACGCACGGCGCCGCGCCGGCGCTGCAGCAGAGAACTATCCTGGACTGCCAACAACAAATGTCCATCGACAGTTGGACGCATGATTTAGAACTTCTTCTTTTTCTTCGTCGCTTTCTGCATTGCTGAAGGTCGTGTCCCTGAAACTTGACCGTTGCCTGTCTCGTGAGCTGTTTCCGTCTCGTCCGGTCCTCAGCTGCTCGAATGGCGGTTGCGACTGGCAACCCAGTTAGAGCGGTTACTTGATCACACCAATGGCTAGGTAATCGGCCGCGGGGTCTCTTTCCTTCTACTTTGCCTTACACACATCGATTATATCGATATTATTCATGTTACCTTTTATGATTTGACGGTAAAGTAAGACATAGAATCATGCTTTGGTAGGCAGCGGCTTGGCTCTGCCTCTAGCATTGCTTAAGTCTATGGGCGACGGTGACCATTCACTATTAGGTTGGCCGTAGACGAGCGTCTACCTACAAGGACAATAAAAAAAAGCATGCTCACCGTCTGGTGTAGTGGTAAGTGACATGGTCACTACACAAGGGGATCGCGGGTTCGAATCCCGCCAAGGGAAGATATTTATATGTTAAATATAAAATGTCTTTTCCAGGGTTATGGGTGTATATTAAATATATGTATGTTTATAATAAAAATCTTGCATTTATTTCCGTCATCTGGTACCTGTAACACAAGTTCTTTACGAACTTATCACGGGACCAGTTAACGTGGCGTGATTGTTAGTAAATATTTAATATTTATATCTACCGCCCGTGTTTCTTTAGAGCTTCCTGCCTTACTTGTTTGAATAGATTAGAGCTAACCACAACGTCTCTTCCTCTGTACTTCTGGTAGCGATTGACGTAACCATAATTCGTATGCTAATGCTCGGATGTCAAGGTTGCGAGGTCATTACCTTAGGTCGTTCACACATTATCGACGTAGGATATTCAAGAAAACTTCAGGGTTTTTTTATTTATCAGAAATCGTACGTAGTTCGTATCGTATGTCTTAAATGATTTCTAGACAATTATTTTTATTCCAATTTACTTAAAAAGATCGAATATGTATCTATGGATTTATTTTTATAAATATATATTTAACTGCTTTACCGTTAAGTAAACTAGCTTACGACCCGATCTTTTTGTAGGTTTTTCAAGGGCCTAGAAAGACATTCCAACCTGAAAGGCGTCATTCACCTTGAGATATTGAAGTCCTAATTATAGTGTATAACAGTTGTCGTATCCCTTGTTATGGGTTTAAGGCTTTCTATTTATCTCTGCCACAATGTAAAACTCGAACAGCTCAGCGGTAGCCGGAACCCAGAAAGGATTATCACATAAATGCCACCGTATCTAAATGAGGTGAAGACTTCAATGTATTTATTTAATGTTACACTGTTAATGACATGTCTGTCTAACCGATTGTATAGTCTACCGATATGAAAACGACAATAAAGGTTTCGCAAAAGATCTTTAAAATTAAAACAAATGTTAAGGAATTTATGTTCTTTATAAATTACTAGCTGTACCCGTCCACTTCGCTGGGCATTTAAAATTAACATTATTATTTCTCATTCTCACAAAGGTTCTCATCATTAACGCCCCCGCAACTGGTGTAGGGAGTCCAACATTCATATAAATATTAGTCTATCCATTAAGTACATGTATTTTCTACATACTAAGTTTCAAGTCAATCGGATGCATGGTTCAGTATCTATAACGGAACATCCGTAAAAACCACTGTAGATTTATATATTAGTTTAGATTTAGATATAACGATTTTTCGGCCGGCTTATTCGGCCTTTTTCTATGCCATGTAGTTCCGGTTGCAAAATTAACGAAACAAAATTTAATTTATAATAATGAGTTTTACAAACGAATATAGACGTGTTGAGCACCATTTCGCTATCAATTAATCATACATAGTTGTTGATTTAATTAGGAGAATAGAAATAATAATTAGAGCGCGAATCTTTACGAGCAAAAAGACCTCGAGTATTTTTCAAAATACGAGATAAAACATCTGATATTGTACTTTCAAACAATTTGACTTTCAAAACGGTTTTTTTTGTTAAGTCGAAACCTAATAAATATCCCAATAAGCACCACGAAATGACAACCTCTTCCTTATCTTATCTTATCTTGTACATATATAATCTGAATCTCGGAAACTGCTCCAACGATTTTCATAAAATTTAGTATACAGGGGATTTCGGGGGCGATAAATCGATCTAGCTACGATTTATTTTCAGAAAATGTTGTTTTATTCGTGTTTTCAATAATCAACTCTTCCCGACATCTATTGGCGAATCATGACTATTTTTTTTAATTGAGGGCAACTAACCAAGATGGCGTTATAAAAAAAAAAAAACAGAGCAAAGCTCGGTCATTATCTAGTTTTGGTTTTAAATCTATAATTTCACATGATATATTAAAAAGTAAAGTTTGTATGTCTGGATGTTTGTTGTGTTTGCGCATCATCATCCACTTTCCTTAAAACATTGTACAGTTGTCATTGGAAATGATTTTATCTTAGTACCATTAACGTAGTAGCGAGTAGATTTAAAATATCCAAATTTTTAATACATTTAGCAATGGTTACAACGAAATATGCCCGGTATTCTAAAGTTAAATGTAAACGAATAAAACTAACAATAGCCATCACTCTCTTACAGGTGCTCTGCGTATTGCTGGCGACAGGGATAGCCGTTGGCGCTCGATCCAGGCCTCGTTTGCAGCAGGTGGAGGACTCTTACGATTACGAGAACCAGGCCCAGGATAGCAGAGCTGGAGGACAGGTATACTACTTTAAAACAAGATTTTAACGCATATTTTTAAGACGCTTTTACTTTTTTTTATTGCTTATTTATTATGCGAAGATATAAAATTATTGTAGCATCATCAGTCCTTAATGCAGGTGCAAATTCTTAAGTCATACTGTCGTTTAGAAATCGATGAAAATGACATTCAAAGATTTCGTTGAGAGCAAAAAAACATACTATACATACATACCAGGCTAGTAATTTTACTGGTGGTAGGACTTCTTGAGAGTCCGCGCGGGTGGGTACCACCACCCTGCTTATTTCTGCCGTGAAGCAGTAATGGCTTTCGGTTTGAAGGGTGGGGCAGCCGTTGTAACTATACTTGAGATCTTAGAACTTATATCTCAAGGTGGGTGGCGCATTTACGTCGTAGATGTCTATGGGCTCCAGTAACCACTTAACACCGGGTGGGCTGTGAGCTCGTCCACCCATCTAAGCAATAAAAAAAAAACAGCAATATATTTAGGTATTGTTTTTGGTGCGATTTAGATTTTACTCAGCAACTTCGCTCGCCAGTGCTAGCCATAATAAACTGCTTTTCTACATGCCTTCTAAAACATTATCTGTCGTATTTCAGGTGTACCAGCTCGTTTCGGCTGACCAATACGACTCCATATATAGACAGAATGACCGTCAAGATGAGGAGTATGAGCAGAGACCAGTTCAGCGGCTGCCGTCCCGGCAGAAGCTTCAGCCCCAACCACAGCAGGAGGGGCCCAAGCAGCCTCCAGTGCAGACCATTAGAAACTATAACAAGGTACGTTAAACAAGAGTGCCCTTGGACTCCCGAAGTTGATGGTACAGTCCATTCGAAGTCCACCTCTCTGTTTTATTTTAAGATTCAAATTAGCTTACCTTCAAAATGAAAACCAATAACTATCAATCGTAATCTAATAGTATAATGTCCTTTTTCGTGAAAATTTTTGGTGAGCATATCTAAATTTTGTGTAGAAATACTAGTGTTTGCCTTCAATATTTGGAACCTGTTCATATCATTCGATACGAATATACTGGGCCGACGACCGTAGATGCCTCCCAAAGTATATTGTGATTTAGGAGATAAGTTTGTTTGTAATACTAAACATAATATTAAATCATTTCAGGTGAACGATGATGGAAGCTTTACATTCGGTTACGAGGCTGCGGATGGGTCCTTCAAGGAGGAGACCAGAGGCACCGACTGTGTCGTACGCGGAAAGTACGGCTACATTGATCCCGACGGCAACAAACGGGAGTTCACCTACGTCTCTGGTAACCCTTGCGACCCTAACAAGCCAAACGAAGAGGATGAACCCGAAGCTCCAGCACCTGACTCCGCCGAGCGCGACGACGGAGTACCGAACTACCCCACGAGAGTGGCCCCCAGGCCAACAACCCCACGACCCCCCACGACGTTCTTCCAGAACGATTTCAGAGATGCCGACGAAGATGAAGATGATGAGCCCGTGCAGGCCATCCAGCCGGTCAGGCAGAGAGTGGTTCAGCGCCCTGCTTTAAGACGCCCCGCTTACCAGCCACAGCCCATCGCTATCACACCACGCCCACTGCCAGTTACTACAGCCCGCGCTCTACCTCCCGCGACCACCTTCAGACCGCAACTGCTTCAAATTACGGCTAAGCCTCAGATACAGTATAGTCCAGAGCCAAACTACTCGCCCTCTCCTTCGCCAATAGCAACCACTGCAAGACCCGGACCAGGACAAATTGATTTCGCAGCTGAGTTCGCTAAATTCCATCGAGAAAATCAACTGCAAGGAAGCACGAGCGCTACGGCTGCTAGTCCCACTAAAGCAACAGCTGCATCTCCTTCGCCAAGCGGAAATCCTTTGTATTCCACTGAACTGGTCTACGATCCATCAAGCGGCCAATATAATACACAGCTGTTCCAGACCTTGCCTCAGACTAAAGGAGAGTTGAACTTGAACCAGAGGTTACAGCCATTTGTCGCTCAACAGCAATCTCAGCCACGACCATTCGTACCGTCACCACAGATACCTGCCGTGCCCTCCTCACCAGCTTCTAGTGCACCTCTTTACAGACAACAGCTCCAAAATCCTCAAGAAGTATATCAGAGACAACAAGCCGAACAGCAGTTCCAGAACTCGCAGCAATTGTTCGCACAACAGCAACAGCTGCAGCAAAGTCAGTTGCAGAGGGACCGGGCTGCGGCTAGAGCGCAGGCCCAGCGCCTCGCCGCCCAGGGCCAAGCCGCGCCAGCACCTCAGAGAGCCTCACCCGCCCCTCAGTACTACTACGTGGCTCCTCGCGGAGGAGAGTCCGTATCTTCAGGCCAGATCGACGCTTTCCTTAGAGGACACGGCATCCAGTTCTAACTTTAGTGTAATTTAGATGTAAATAATTATGTTTGCGACCGTTGTCTCGAAGGCCATAAGCACAAGTCGCAGAGAGACCGGTCGTGCTGTATAGTCGAGCGCGCAAGTGTTATCTAGTTGGCGGGTGGACAGTGACGCTGACGGCCGCTGTTGTACATAATAAGTTGTGTCCGTGTAATCAGTACCTTAACGTAATTCTAGAAAATAGTTTTATAAGTTAATAAAATTGAATGATTTTTGTGCGTGTCAGTCCTAAGACGATTTTGTAAAAACTTATATATGGTATGTAATTTTTGTGTTTAAACAATAAATTATCTTTTTACATAGGGTGTTCTTTTCATTTACGCTAATATTTATACGCTAATATCACGGATAATATCAGTCTGTTTAACTGGAACTGAGAAAGTCGACCTTGATTTTGAGACCCTGAGTGGTGAGATATATGCCGACCCACACATATAGCCCATCAAAGCATGAGCGGAAACCTAAAGATATTTTTCAGCCCATTACTTATCTACTTCTTTCGGGAAGAAATAATACGTTCTAACTTGAAAGGGTGCCTTGTGTATATTGATTGATTGGGATTTTAACATCTTGCAGTAGGTAGCGGCTGGATAGACAGAGGCTTGAGGCAAAGCCCCTGGAATTGCTGACGTCCATCAGAGCCGGTAACCACTACCCATTAGGTGGGCTATATTTTTTTTTTATTGCCTTTGTAGGCAGACGAGCATGCGGCCCACCTGATGGTAAGTGGTAACCGTCGCTCATGGACGTCAGCATTGCCAGGGGCAGAGCCAAGCCGCTGCCTACCATAAAGTACTCTCCGCAAGCCTCGTTTGAAGAAGGACATGTCATAGCGCTCGGAAAACACCGTGGAGGGGAGTTCATTCCAAAGCCGGATGGTGCGTGGCAAAAAAGATCTTTGGAAACGCACTGTCGATGAACGCAGCGGTTCCAGATAATATGGATGAACTCTGCTCCGATGGCGGGAGGTGCGATGATATGCTCGTCTGCCTACAAGGGCAATAAACAAACTAGGTTTCTTTTCAGAACAAATCCGTATACTATATATTAAATATTCATGCCTCATATTCAAAGCTCGTTAGTTCTCTTGTATCACGGGTATCGAAAACACAAGTACTAAGACAAGATTTTCGCAAAAACTTTTTTTTTTTAAATAAATTCAGCACAATGGAATCCGTCTGGTTTTTTGTTAATAGTGGCATTTCTGTTGACTTGAAGATCTTTTTAGGGTCACCATAGCAACCAGATTACCAGGGAGCCCTAGTAGCTCTAGAGCAGATGCTGGAGTGCACTAATGATATGGCTAAGGTAACACATCTCTTTCTCGAGCTCGACGAGTATGGTGATATCTTGGTTGCTGCAGTTTTCAGTATTAGTGACGTCCAATAGCACCGAGAAGGTCGGGTGGAACTGTCAGGCTGTTGGCTGTTGTCTGAGCCAGGTCTGGCTGTAGTCAGCGGTGGCGTCGATGAGGGGCTCAGACTGTTTTTGTTAATCGCATGAAGAAAGATTCCGAAATTATCTTCATATACCTACGGATAATTTTGAGTACTAGATTTTTTTTATTGCTTAGGACGTTCTCACGGCCCATTTGCTGTTAAGTGGTTACCGGAGTCCATAGACATCTACAACGTAAATGCCACTGCTTGAGAGATGAGTTCTAAGGTCTCTCAGTTTTAACAGTAAAATGGCTGCCCCACCCTTCAAACCGAAACGCATTACCGCTTCACGGCAGGAATAAGCAGGGTGGCGGTACCTTCCCGTGTAGACTCACAAGAGATCCTACCACCAGTAAGAATGAATACCTGAAGGCAATGCAAGTTTTGTAAAATGTCTGCTATTGACTAGCAGACAGGGCTGCTTTGCTGGCCAATCTTTGATTTCACTTTGATCCGTTCGCTGTCACAACCACTGCATTCAGGATCACTTCATTAATCTGAAGATTCATCGAAATCGGTCCAGCGGCTTCGAAGTTAATAGGGAGAACATACATAGAAACAAATGTAGATTATGATTAGTTCTGTCTGATGAGAACGCGCTAATCTGTCTAAAACAGTTTGTATATTTTGTTAAATTTAATAGCAATAAATGCTTATCTATACTAATATTATAAAGAGGAAAGATTTGTTTGTTTGTTTGTTTCGAATAGGCTCCGAAACTACTGGACCGATTTGAAAAATTCTTTTTCTATTAGAAGCCGACATTGTCCCTGATGAACATAGGCTACTTTTTTTTTTATTTTTTTTTTTTCGGTTTCATGTGTGTTTTAATGTTTCCGAAGCGAAGCGAGGGCGGGTCGCTAGTTTCAAATAAAAAAGAAAAATCTTTCATAGAGAGGAATATTGCTGCTAGTTAGACAGAAAGGCTGAACGTTTTTTTTTAAACCCTCCTTGATATTATTGCTTGTAGAAAATTTTTAATAGACTATCTAGTTTCTTCAACGAATCTATAGATGTCGCTACATTATTTAAAGCCCTACTAACGACATCTACCGAAAAGTTTATGAACCTTTATCACTCCTTTTAGGCCCAACTGAAAAATGTTTGTTTTGTATTCTATTAGAATTTTCATATTATGAACTACAACCATAACACGAAAAACTGTCTTGAGCAGTTTGTTTTGTTTATAGGTTAGGATAAGGTTTGCTTTTGCTTAAAAGGTTATTCCAGCTACGCTCGGAAAAGGCTTGCCACTCACTGTATAAATTACTTCCGTTTTGTTATGATAGTTTAGTACTTTATAATCGACACTATTGTGCTTAGTGTGAGTTTTTTAACGTTCTCGATAGCGTAAAAGTTAACTCAAATTTGTGTGCAGTTGGAACGTTTGCCTATGTTCGCCAATAGGGGCGCTGTTCAAAATTAAACGGAGATTGTCGACGAGCCACCCACAGTGGTGCTGACCATTTAAAAGATTTGGAAAAATCCATATACTCGCTAAAGATAACAAATCATTTCCGCATATAATACGCGAGGTATATGAAATTTAAAAAAAAAACACATACTTCAATAGCAAAGATGGTTGAAGCTTCTATTATAACACCTTGGATTATATTGACACACCTATTACACGAAGACGAAAACCCTAATCAAAGAAAGTGTCAGATATCAAGATAGCTCCTCTTGTGAGTCTGCACAGGTAGGTACCACCGCCCTGCCTATTTCTGCCGTGAAGCAGTAATGCGTTTCGGTTTGAAGGGTGAGGCAGCCGTTGTAACTATACTTGAGAACGTAGAACTTATATTTCAAGGCGGGTGGCGCATTTACGTTGTAGATGTCTATGGACTCCAGTAATCACTTAACACCAGGTGGGCTGTGAGCTCGTCCACCCATTTAAGCAATAAAAAACAAGTGTCAGATATCAAGATGGTAGGCAGCGATTTGACTATGCCCCTGGAAGCGTTTCACGAATTCACGTTAGGTCTTCTTTGGAGACACTCAGGTAGCTGTTAGTAAATCCCACCCTTCCTGGCTGAGTCTTGGCTCGCCCACCTGTCCTGGTGAAACTGAAGAGGCCCACGGGCCATGGGTAAATCACGGATTAATAAAAAAAAAAAATATTTACCATAAGCGACAAAAACCACTCACTCACACTCGATAAAGGTAATGGAAAAAAAAATTGACTGTTAGTACCATTGATATAAAACTAAACAGTAGATAGCGTATAATCTATTTATTTATTATTGAGGGCATACTGGTGGCTGGAGGTCTTTCCAGTTTCACAAGGACAGGTGGGCGAGCAAGCGCGTATAATCCTCAGAAGTCGACGGTAACAGGTAATTAATGAAATTAATAAATGCGAGATTAAATTGTAAAAGCGGTTCTAAAAATATATATCCAGAGGTGAAAGGCTATTTGTTTTAAGCGACATTTTTTGCAACTTTACAGGAGAGTCATTTAAAGTTTGAAATTTGGAAAAAAAAAATAACGAAAAATCTTCTTGAGTTATTTGAATGGGGTAAGCTTAATTGAAGTTCAATTAAAAACATCGGACTGTTGATGCTGATACCAAATAAGGCCCACCTTTAATTACAAAGGTAAATGTCGCTTAAACCAAATAATCTTTCACCTCTCGATATAAAGCTAAGTAGTAGGTAATGAAATATTAAAAATGCATTGAGATTAGTAATACAACATACAAAGGACTATGCACGTCAAAAATCTTAAGTCACGTACAAAATTAATCTTGATTTTTCTCATGCGAATACAATAGTAGCTAACAACAATACATTAAAACTGTGATTGTTTGTATCACAGTATTAAATAGCTACTCTAATAACTTTGAGGTTTGTTGTCGGAATTTGTAAGAACTACTTTTGTTTGTTGGTAATGGGACGACTTGTGAGTCCGTACGGGTAGGTACCACCGCCCTGCCCATTTCTGCCGAGAAGCAGTAATGCGTTTCGGTTTGAAGGGTGGGGCACCCGTTGTAATGTTAAACTGAGACTTTTGGAACGGAGTTCCTTATCGCGCGTTGTGAAAGGGGCCTAGACGGAAAAAATTCTTACGAAAAGTTGTCACGACACTTTTTAGATCCGTCATTCTGACCAATCAACGTGTAGGCGCTTATCGCGTGACATTGCNCCATTTCTGCCGAGAAGCAGTAATGCGTTTCGGTTTGAAGGGTGGGGCACCCGTTGTAATGTTAAACTGAGACTTTTGGAACGGAGTTCCTTATCGCGCGTTGTGAAAGGGGCCTAGACGGAAAAAATTCTTACGAAAAGTTGTCACGACACTTTTTAGATCCGTCATTCTGACCAATCAACGTGTAGGCGCTTATCGCGTGACATTGCTCGTATCCGATTGAGTGTAGTGTAGATGAGTACAGTTTCTCGAGATAGCGTTTCAACAATAGTAATTTAGTTCATAGTATTGTTTTTTTCTTCTTCATAATGCTGTAATTTATTATTATAACTTAAAAAAAAATTACAATTCCTTCACTAATTAATCGAAAGGAACTTCGTTCCATCCGGGTGTCCCTTGACACCTCTGACATTTTTTTTTTCAGGGTGAGTTGCGGTATTTGCGTTGAGGATGTCTATTGGCTCCGGTAACTACTTAACACCGAGTGAGGACCGTGAGCTCATTCCACCCGTCTAAGCACTTCGGTTTCCTCTGCATTTTGTACCGTATGTTCCATGGAGAATACTCTGAGGATGATGGTATCATCTCAAACAATGAGATGATACCATCATCCCGTTTGTACTATCGCACCGCCCACCACCGGAGTAGAGTTCATCCATACTACCTGGAGCCACTGCGGTCATCCACAGTGCGTTTCCAGAAAATAAAAATAAACCATTTTTGCCACGTACCATCCGGCTATGGAATGAGCTCCCCCCACGGTGTTTCATGAGCGCTATGACATGTCCTTCTTGTAACGAGGCTTGTGGAGAGTATTAAACGATGGGCAGCGTCCCTGGCATTGCTGACGTCCATGAGCAACGGTAACCACTTACCATCAGGTGGGCCGTGTGCTCGTCTGACTGCACAGTCAATAAACAAAAGGACAATAAAAAAAGGTTATATTTATTAAAAAGTATGGAATCGTACATTTGACGTAAACATTCATACGATTTAAATGACCAGTAGTAGTACTGAGAGTCAAAATCGTTTTTCCCCATGAAACTGGTAAAGTATTCGAAGCGCTGAAAATTGTATGCAGTAAATTTTAAGTGAACGTCTCTCTCTCTCTCTCTCTCTCTCTCTCTCTTCCCAGCTATTTATCCCACATGGTGGTCAGCTTTCCTGACTTTACTCCTCCACTTCGCTCAGTCTTCGACATCTTCGTCAGCAACATTGCATTCTCTCTTGTCCTTCAGAACTACGCCCTCCACCTTGTCTTGGGTCCACCTCTAGGTCTCCGACCGGGGAGGTCGAGCAGTAGCGCCAAATTTCCGACGTAGTCAGGCGGCTTCCTTTTCACGTGACCATACCATCTCAGCCTACTCTCCTGCATCTTGTCGGCGATGTCCCGTACTCCTAGACGTCCACGCACGTACTCGTTGCGGATTTTATCGAGCCTAGTGACTCCGCACATCCACCTCAGCATCTTCATTTCAGCAACTTGAATGGTATGCACGTTCCTTTTGGTTGCCGCCCATGTTTCGCTGCCATACATAAGAACATTTCACTTAAATTTTAAGTGAACGTAAACAAATTAAAGTTTAACTCTGTTGACCCCAGACAGTTGGGGTGGATTAGCGGAAAAACGGTGTTAATTGGCGCGCATCTGCACTACCAGAATTGTTTAATAAATTAAAATATTTAACTGTCGTGTTTAAGTGAGTTTGTCGCGATTCACAAAAGAAAAACACGTTTTTAAATGCGTAACACAAATGTTATTTAGGTCACAAATTTATAGACAAAATGTTCAGATTATAATGGTAATGCAATAACGGTTTTTCCCCTCAGACGGAATGAAAGATCACTTTGATTAGTACAATCCCCAGTGTTTAAGTAATAACCGAAATTGTTTTAAATTCATAACGACCGTTGATAGAATGTGTTCAGTCAAGGTCACAGTGGAAAAATAAAGTGCCCGCAATTAATTTCACTACGACCTAAAAATGTGACATTGACTGCTGTGGGAACACCGGCCACTGTTTTGCATTCAAAGATATTTATTTACAAAGAAATCGAAACAATCACTATGATTACGCTGCGGACGTTTCGATTCCTGAGCAAAAATTTTTCCACAAACTACTTATATTAGTCCACGAATAACGTGTTTTACAAAACTATCTGGACAATTAAACAATTGGGATCTTACGGCATAGTTTAGACGCACAGAAAAAAGATTTTCCGTTTCAGATAATAAAATGACAAACAATGGTCGGTGGTTGCGCAAGGTTTTCGCACGGGCTTGGTAGCGAGTGGGGCGGTATTTTATATAGGGGAGTGGTGCGCGCCCGCGGAGCTGCCGTCATGCCGCTGTGGGCGCCCTAGCGAGATGATGCTCCTCCTGCTCATCGCGTGTGTCGCAGTTACAACTGCCGAAAATGCCACTAAAGATTCAACCGAACCACCTTCGAACACCACTAAAGAGATCTTGAAAGCTAGTGAAACAGCTGATGCATCAAAAGTTGAAATAGTCAAGCAAATAAGGAGACTTAACGACGACGGGTCTTATACTATTGGATATGAGGCTGACGACGGTACGTTTAAGATTGAGAGTAGGGATGTGCGCGGTAATGTGAAGGGAACTTTTGGATATATCGACAAGGATGGTGAAATCAAACGGGTGACGTACTCGTCTTCTGGGGAAAGCACTCCGATCCCGGTGACAACAACCACAACGACCACGCAAAGCTCCCCAACGATGATAGTGAGAGTGAATAAAACTGTGTCGTCGACTACAAGGAGACCACTAGCCACTGTGGTGTATCCGACTCGGAGTAGCTTCACGACTAGAGGTACCGTAATTCAATCTATACCGAGAAGGAGAGGCTCCAGTACGAGACCTCCAAACACAACCGAATCAACGACTGAGCAACAGAATCTCGAGGATACAACCAGCAGCATTTTGAATTTGTACAAACCGAAAGTCGAGGAGAACATTAGAACGAGAACACAAATATTAAAACCCATGTCAGATATACTTAAAGACGACCTGGTGACAAGGCAGACTACGACCAAATTGCCGCAAACCGTGAAGCCCGTTTATGAGCACGTAACCGAAAAGGCACCGGAGAGTGTGCTGAAGATGAACACATTTCGAAGAGAGTTACCAAGTACGACTACTAACCCTCATATGATCAACCTTCAGCAGTCAGCTGGTGATGATTCCACTGACGAATACGGAAGTCAGCTGTCACTTGGAACTATACGTCCATTGTTTACGACGACCACCCCACGACCTCGATTGGTTCCTATTCAATCAATCGTGGCAGCAAGGCAGAGAATACAGCAACGCTACCAGGATGCACCTCTGGATGACCAAGAAACAACGATAGAAGCAAGCACAGGCAGAGTCTTTGATAGTCAAGGTGTCGTGACTTCTAATCCGCTTCCAGTTGTTCATATACCAGCACAGAGAGAACCTGATGACCGCGCGTATCAGCAAACAGTATATCGAAGACCGCCAGCAGTTCAGTTCCGCACTCGGGAATATTTGCGAGATAATCCCGGAGCTGCCGTACCTATAGGTAACCAGCGGCCCTTTCTCCACTACGAATACGAGAAAGTACTGGAGCCTCAATACGATAAGGAGCCAGTCCAGACTCTTCAGAAACCAGAACCGACCGCAGCGTCATATGATACTAGACCTGTGACACGAATTGTTCCTATACCGGTTGACGAAAGAGGCGTTCCAATACCGGGGTATCAGGCAAGGTTCGCTAATGCGTATAGANTAGGTAACCAGCGGCCCTTTCTCCACTACGAATACGAGAAAGTACTGGAGCCTCAATACGATAAGGAGCCAGTCCAGACTCTTCAGAAACCAGAACCGACCGCAGCGTCATATGATACTAGACCTGTGACACGAATTGTTCCTATACCGGTTGACGAAAGAGGCGTTCCAATACCGGGGTATCAGGCAAGGTTCGCTAATGCGTATAGACCACAGCCAGCTCTCTTCCAGCCTCGGTATGAGTCCGTAGATGACATGCACAGTATTTCAGCACCGGTTAGTACACGGGACTTAAGACGTTTACTGTACATTCTTATTCTGAGGCAGAACCGATTGCAGGCGCTTGTGGACCAAATGATGCCAGGATCTGCGTACCCAATGCCGATCTACAGAGACGAATATAGATACCAAAATCGTTATCAAGATGATGGATACGATTATAGATACGATCCAAAATATAGGAACGATTACATGCAGCCCATGTATGAAAATCAATATGAGAACCATCGGTACTTGCCTAGAAGGAGGATGTATCCGCGTCCTTATGACACTGCAGGTTCAGCCTCGAACCACATTGAGGAAGTTCCGGAATTCCTGCCACCAGAAGTAAGAGAGGCATTGCTTCTGAAGATGTTGATTTTAGCTATTAGTCCGGATTTCGCGCCGACTCCTGTGCCGCCCACGGAATTGACCACTGCTGCTCCAATGAGAAAACAAGTAAGAAACGTTCAGATACTTGGAGAAGAGGGCCCTATGACTGATAAACAGAGACATTGAGGTACTATATTCATATTTATAAGATTGAATTTTTGTCCCGAAATTTTAATTGTATTTTAATTACTTTAGATATCTTTGGATGTAGGGACATGAATGTTTTAATGAAGCATGGATAGGATTACATTAATTTTATACAATTTAGATAACTTATGATCAATACTCAAAATATGTTTCTTTTTGTAAATATTTTTTTATAAAGCGCCAATGAAAGAATTTTCTACATTTTGCTTTTTATTTCGCTGTATTTGGGACTTTTCGGGTAGGGATCAACAACTTAGTGTCTCGTTTGTGTTTGACAAGTTCGACTTTGTGATGCCGCTTACCACTAGACGGGTCTTGAAATTAATCTACCCATCCAGTGCAAAAAAAACACCTAACCATTTTTTGCCCGTTTTTACTGAGAAACTAATTGTTATCATTAGATTTTCCTAAATAAAATGTATTGATATAAAATACTTAATAACTTGCTAAACTTAGCGGTTGGTTAAGTTGTCGTGTGTGTTATTGACCTCCTTGAGAATCCCTAAGGCAGGTCGTTATACTTGCCTTCAGTGGCATTTGGCAAAAAACCACACATCATCAGCCTTTATCTGCCCACTGCTGGACATAGGCCTTCCCCAATGCCTTCCACATAATGCGGTCCTCCGCCTTCCGCATCCAACGACTTCCCGCCGTGCGCACTAAGTCGTCAGTCCACCTGGTTGGAGGACGCCCCAAAAAACCACACGATCAGTCCAAATTTTTCTTGACTGGTTCTAGGCCTAAACAGAATTGCGTCTAAAATTAGCATTTATAATTACAATATATTTCGAGCTGTGATACCCAAGGTTGGCCCGCAGCGTGGGTACTGTACGGTACAACAATGGGCAGCCTTCACGGACACGATTCTTACACAAAACGATGTATAATGTAAATGATACAAGTTGCACCGTTAGAAACTACGTGAGCACCGTAAGTTTTCATTGAATCTACGAAGGACAGGTTTGCTTACGCGTGGAGTACTGTTATCACATTCATCTCTAGGCCGGGGTTCCAATGGAGCAGCTAGAAACGGGAAGCTATCATAGAACAAAATACATTTGATAGATACCTTTTTTTTATTGCTTAGATTGGTGGACGAACTCACCGCCCACCTGGTGTTAAGGGGTTACTGGAGCCCATATACATCTACAACGTAAATGGGCCACCCACTTTGAGATATAAGTTCTAAGGTCTCAGTATAGTTACAACAGCTACCCCACCCTTCAGACCGAAATGCATTATTGCTTCACGGCAGAAATAGGCGGGGTGGTGGTACCTACCCGTGCAGACTCACAAGAGGTCCTACCACCAGTAATTACGCAAATTATAATTTTACGGGCATGCAATGACTTGGGGTGGGGGTCTGTGAGCTCGTCCACCCATCTATGCATTAAAAAAAAAAACTTTACAGTGGCAACACTTCACGACTTAACGTTATTATTGAAGTTATATTCAATATAATTGACAGCTTATCCAATTTTTTAGTTTCATAAAAAAATGTATAACGTGAAATCAAAAATAGTTCTCATTAAAATATCTTTGTATCTCGAAAAGAAAAGAAAAAAAAACAAACCATCAGATGTGACTTACGTAAAGATTTGACAATGCATAACAAAACAACGCATGCAACTGTGCACAGACGTTTTTCCCATACATTCACAGAACTGGGAACGCTTCCCACGGCCCGCGACTAGTCGATAGGAAAAAAATATACGTACATATACATAAGTAAGTATTCGTCTTAGTTGTACAGAGTTGTGTAATTGTTGCCGTTTCGCAAATGATTTCAATGTGTCTCTCTACGTTGTTCGACGATTTAGATACCTACATATATGAAGTCGTCAGCGCAAAAGGGGCTAAACCCACAATTTTTTATATTCAAGCTTATAATATGTACATTGGAATTTACTTAAAACTAGCGACCCGCCCTCGCTTCGCTTCGGAACATTAAATTTTATTATTATTGATAGCTGAGTCCCGCGATATTATTGTCGTACCGCGGGTGAAGCCGCGGAGCGAAGCTAGTCTAAACAAAGTAGCCTAAGTTACTCCTTATGTCATCAGCAATCTATCAGTGAAAGTCTGTTATTTTGGTGTATGTACCGTATATATATTCATATGAATTTAGTAAAAAGCGGTTATTTCAATATTACAGACACTCCAATTTTATTTATATGTATAGATATAATAAATTTTGCTGCAAAACCTATCCATAGTTTCACCCATAGATAACAGATGGCTTTGTTATCATTATATTTGCGCGTATTGTTTTTTTGCCTCCTCAAATTAAAATTCATTAAAACTTAAACCTCATTGCTCCAAATTAACTGTTGTAAAATTAGGCCACTTTTGCGCTGAGGTCCTCATATGTATGTGTGTTACGCTGAAATTTTCCTTTGCTTCTCTCTAACTTTTAAACAATGTATCAGTTTAGTTAAATAAAAATAGGCTTAAATACCAAACTGAACTAACAATTAGTTTCATCTATTTGATACAGTTCATACTGGTCAAATTAGAGCAAGGTTGCAAAGGTAATGTATTGTCAACGGTCCTTGATGCGCGTGTAAATATTCAAGTTAATTGGACATCTTAAAGTCGATGAAAATGGCTATAATATTAAATAACTTTATAGCTGGAAACAAAATACGCGGGGTCTTCTTCTTCTTCTTATCAGCCCACAGACGTCCACTTCTGGACATAGGGCTCCCCAAGCCTTGCCACAAAGGCCGGTCCTGCGCTGTCTGCATTCAGTGGATCCCCGCGAACCTCAATAGATCGTCGGTCCATCTTGTGGGAGCCCTACCCACGTTACGTCTTCCAGTACGCGGTCGCCACTCAACAACTTTGTGGCCCCAACGGTCATCCGTTCTACGAGCAATAAATAAATAAATAAATATTTACTAACGATCACGCCACGTTAACTGGTCCCGTGCTAAGTTCGTAAAGAGCTTGTGTTACAGGTACCAGATAACAGAAATAAATGTAAGATTTTTTATTATACACATACATATATTTAATATACATCCATAACCCTGGAAAAGACCATATATTTACCATACAAATATCTTCCCTTGGCGGGATTCGAACCCGCGACCCCCTTGTGTAGTGACCATGTCACTTACCACTACACCAGACGGCCGCAATGTGGGGTCATTAGCCCCAATTAGGATTCCCTGTGTTATGGGTACTAGAGACTGATATACATATTTATATGCGTTTTAATATGTTCGTATATATAGATAACTAGCGGCCCACTCCGCTCGGGTCAACAAAGATTTCAATGATATTTGACGTTGTTTTATTTTTTTAAAATAAAATAACACTTATAATGGCATAGCTATAATAACTAGTTAGACATATGCTGTCGCGACACTTTTCGTTAATATGTGTTCTACAAAGTCGTAGTACCTACATTACTTTATTCTATCATCAACAGTTTTCGCAGGGCACGCGATGTAAAGTATATTAAAGGTATTTTATTTACATCTTGGGTTACATTATTGGAGTTTTATTAAGGATCCCTAATTTTTTTCAAAAAAGCTGATAGCCTATATCACTCGGGAATAGTGTAGCTTCCAAACAGTGACAGAATTTTTCAAATCGATTCAGTAGTTTCGGAGCCTTTTCAATGCCAACAAACAAACAAATCTTTCCTCTTTATAATATTATAATATTATAATAGTATAGATAAGCACCCGGACAAAGAGCTAACGAACCTATTCATCACACGAATGATTGCTTGATGTGGGAATCGAACCCAAGACCCTTGGCGCAACAGCCAGAGCCGCTAACTACTGCACCATCGAGTCAGTCATGTGTACAAGCCGAACTAATAAAAGGGTGTTATAAACAGGTAGAGCGGTGACCGTGTTAGAAAAATTAAAAATACCGGATTTCCTTTCGATAAAAGCTTCATTTATCTAGCTTTTTTTAAAATACAAAATTATCACACAAGCTCTCCTAGAACGAACTCAATTTAATTTCTTTAATTACAATACATTACATATTTACAACATTCCTAATAGACTAATAGGATCCGAAGGTGATGTCGTGGAGGGGCGCAGCGCCACCCTGAGGCAAAGAGTATTCTTTCAAGAGCTGGTCCAGCATGGAGTACGGCTGGCTCTTCTGCTGAGGGAACTGGTTGGCTGTGGTATAGCGTTGTTGTTGTGGCGGTGAGGGAGCGAAGTCCTGGGCTGGAGCGAAGGACTGGAACTGAGGGGCTGGTCTGAAGTCCTGCTTCGGGCGCGGTCTGGGCGCTGGCTCGGGTTCGAAGAAGTTGTTCTCTACAGGCGCCGGGGCAGCACCAGAGAAGAACGCCGGCTGTAGTTTCAGAAATGTGATTATTTATTGAGATTGTAATACATATCTTATACCTTTAAACGAGCAATTACACCAGGTGGGCTGTGAGCTCGTCCATCCATCTAAGCAATAAATAAAAATAAAAAACATTCGTAAAAACCACTGTAGATTTATATATTAGTATAGATGAATAAATGCTGGTTTCATTGAGTCGGTAAGAAAAACTTTATATTGAAGGTCAGTGCATAAACCTGTGGTCCACTATTGAAAGCATAAGCTCATTAGTACATAAGCATAAGTAATTTTTTTAGCTCCTATGGATAGATACCATAGTCCTGACTATTCATTGTACAATAAAATACTGCTATCATTTAATATCAAGTCTATTATAATGCAGGCTTCTAATCGTCTGATCCTGGTTCGTCACTTAACCAACAGACACAGCCCACTGAGTATCTCGCCGGATCTTCTCAGTGGGTCGCGTTTCCGATCCGGTGATAGATTCTGCGAAGCACGGCTCTTGCTAGGGCTCGTGTTAGCAACGTCGTCAGGTTTGAGCCCCGTGAGCTCACCTACTAGTTAAGGTTACGCTGAAATAACCTCTCAAGGCCATCAGCTTAGGTAGAAAAAAAAAAGAAGGTTCGTCTCGATATCGATCTACTAACCTTAGGTGGAGTCGGGGCAGCAGATTGTTCAGGCCGGTATTGCTGTTGTGGTTGGGGGGGCGGTCTGTACTGTTGCTGAGGTTGCGGGGCCGGTCTGTATTGTTGTTGTGGCTGGGGTTGTGGACGAGGGGCGGGAGCACGGTACTGGGGTTGTGGTTGCGGTTGGGGACGGGGTCGCGGGGGCGGTGCAGGCGCGGGTTCCTCGTAGT